ACACCTGCTCTCCCGAAACAGAGCACTTGCAGGCGCTGAGGAGAGCCTTACCTGGCGTGCCTCAGAAGCCAGCAGGAGCGACCCATCCACCTGCATGTTCCCCATCCACCTGCCTCTGCACCCCACCGTGACCACTTCTGGTCTTTTTTGGTGTTTCTTGTGTTTCTTATATACATTAAAATAAATATATGTTCTTATTTACTCCTTTTTTCCACAAAAGGCAGCATACTGTATGCAGACTTTATACCTTTTTTTTTTTTTTTTTTTACTGAACAAACACTATTTCTTTTTTTTTCTAAAGATTTATTTATTGGGACCCCCGGGTTGCTCAGCAGTTGAGCATCTGCCTTCGGCTCAGGGTGTGATCCCAGGCCCCTGGGATCGAGTCCCACGTCGGGCTCCCCGCAGGGAGCCTGCTTTTCCCTCTGCCTGTGTCTCTGCCTCTCTGTTTCTCTATCATGAATAAATAAATAAAATCTTAAAAAAAAGATTTATTTATTCATGAAACACAGAGAGAGAGGCAGAGACACAGGCAGAGGGAAAAGTAGGCTCCCTGCAGGGAGCCCGACGTGGGACTCGATCCCGGGACTCCAGGATTGCGCCCTGGGCCAAAGGCAGGTGCCAAACCGCTGAGCCACCCAGGGATCCCCATTAATAAATAAATCTTAAAAAAAAAAAAGATTTTTTTTTTTAATTTTTTTTGTTTTATTTATTTATGATAGGCACACAGTGAGAGAGAGAGAGGCAGAGACACAGGCAGAGGGAGAAGCAGGCTCCATACACCGGGAGCCCGACGTGGGATTCGATCCCGGGTCTCCAGGATCGCGCCCTGGGCCAAAGGCAGGCGCTAAACCGCTGCGCCACCCAGGGATCCCTAGATTTTTTTATTTATCTGAGAGAGAGAGCATGAGATGAGCAAGGCGAAGGGCAGAGGGAGAGGGAGAAGCAGACTCCACACTGAGCAGGGGTCCCGATGTGGGGCTCGATCCCACAACCCTGAGATCATGACCTGAGCTGAAATCAAGAGTCAGCTGCTGAACCGACTGAGGCCCTTGGGCGCCCTGAACAGACACTGTTTCTTAGTGACCGTTCCGTGGTGGTGTACGGAAGGTCACGAACCCCTCGGGGTCTTGCTTGATTAGGCCCTTTGCTAACAGGTAGGTCATTTCCAGTGTTTTTGTCATAGAGGTTGCTAGAGCCTCGGCCTGCCGGCAGCCCATACCATTGCTGCTGGGTGCCCTGGAAGGTGTCCTGGTGCTGGGTGCCTGTGGCCGCGGCCCAGGTCTGTTCGTCCCTTGGCCTGTGTGCAGCGCCAGGCGCCACCTGCCTTGCCACCAGCTCCCCACACTGCAGCTGTCCGGGCGCCCTGTGACCACGGCCTCCTGCCCACGGCCCCGGCCTGAGCACGGCCGACCTCCCTACGCAGCGACGCGCACCCTTGCTGCTCTGCCAGCCCAGTCCCGGCCCTGGCCCGCTGCGGGGCGGAGGAGAGCAGGCGCCCAGTGGCCCAGCCGCCCTTCACAGCCTGGTGCGGCCATGGTAGGGTCTCTGGGCATCAGGTCCTGACTGCGTGGTGTGGGTCGTAGGGCACCTCGGGCCTGCGCTTGTCCACTCCTTAGCGTCACCGCGCTAGGCCGGGGCCCCCCCAGCCCTTTACGCACTCTGACCAAAGGCTCCTTTTGCAGGTGCTGGCACGTGGTTGAGGAGACGGACGGGGTGTGTGCCCTCAACACGCTTGGCCTCTAGTGGAAGGGACAGGCCGGGACAAATAGTGCTGTGTCTGGTGTCCGGCGTCCAGCCTCCGCCGGCTCGGGAAGCTGCTGGAGGCGCCTGTGGCCTGTGCCCGTGAGGGAGTGGGCCGTGGTGGGATGGGAGTCTTCCAAGGTGAGCCAGTCTGCGGGGAGGGCGAGCACGAGGGCTGGGGCCTGGCTTGGCCCGGAATGAGGACATCACGCTGTGTCTGCACTGACGGACAAACCGGGACTGCGTCGGCCCCGCGCCAGGGTTTCCCGGCACCTTCCTTGTTACTCTGTACAATGGGAACATGTACTTTACTCTCCCAGAGCAAGAGGTGTCTAGGGTTCTCCCATTTTTTGCTCTTGTACATAACGCCACAAATAAAACCGGCCCTTTGATCGCAAGTCACAGGAATCCCCCCCCAGGAAGCCAAGCAGAGCTTCACATGTGGTGGGCAGCCCGAGCTCCCCCAGCCTCCAGCCTCCGTCTGTTCCCTCTGCACAAGGCCATGGGTGAGTAAAGTGACACTCACTGCCCCTCACAGGCCTGGATTCTCGTTACACCGTCGCTCACCTTCACATGGTGCTGACGTGGGCATGAGGTGGACCAGCTAACAGAGGACTTTGGTTTTTTTTTGTTGTTGTTGTTTTGTTTTGTTGAATTTTTTATTTTTATTATTTTATTATTTTTATTTTTTATTTTTTTAATATAAATTTATTTTTTATTGGTGTTCAATTTGCCAACATATAGCATAACACCCAGTGCTCATCCCATCAAGTGCCCACCCCAGTGCCTGTGACCCAGTCACCCCCACCCCCCGGCCTCCTCCCCTTCCACCACCCCTAGTTCGTTCCCCAGAGTTAGGAGTCTCTCATGTTCTGTCTAACAGAGGACTTCGGATGGAGGCGTGGGCAGTGTCCCTGTGGAGCAGACGGGGATCATTACCGGGATGTGCTGGGGAGGTGGTGATGGTGGATGTTTGGGGCCGCCGAGCACCCTGGCCAGCATGGACCTGTTAGTGCTGGGCTGGGGTCCGGGACCTGGGCCTGCTGTCCCAGAAGCCAGGGGTCCCGGCGCGCTCCCAGCAGTGTGTGGTGTGCGCTGAGAGGCTTGGGGGGGCAGTGGCCACTGTCCTTGCAGGTGGCTCCTCCCATCTCGGTCCCACGCTCTTGTGCCGCTTACCTGGGCACGGAGCTGAGACCTGGATGCCATCGCCTAGATTCTCTCTGTTTGACATTCCAGTGAGACTTAGGGGGCATTTGTGGACAAGGTGGGAGAGGCCCTGCTTGCCTCCCTCGCCATCCCCCCTGCAGCCTGGGTTGGTGTGCTGGCCATTCTGTGGGACTCCCCTAAGCCATCTTGGTCTTGGTGGCCCCCTTGAGGGTCGGCTCTTTCACTTCCTGTGGGCTGTTCCTGGACTGGCTCGGAGGAGGTGGCTGAGGGGGTCTAGATGGCCGTCAGGCAGGTCCCGGGGGCTGGGGCCCAGAAGTCTTGGGCTGAGCCTGGAGGGGCCAGGCATTGGGCGCTGTGTCACCCCCCGATAGAGACTGTCCTGAGATGGGGTGCCCACTGTAGTGTTTTTTCCTTAGGGTCACCTTGGGCTCAGAGAAGACAGTCAGCAGCCCAAGGACCTGCCCAAAGTGACGGGGAGACTACCCTCGGGCATCTTCCAGCAAGGGGTGCTGCTAAAGTGGCCCAGAGCAGACCCAGGGTATCAGGGCTGGGCCCACCAGAGTCAGGGGCTGAGGACCCCTGGAAGCTGCCACAACCCAAACCAGGGGACCTCCTGGTTCTTCCCACTGTGGCTGGGTTGGGGGGGGGGATGCTGAAGCTCTCGGTCCTGCCTCGTGACGAAGGTTCATGGATGGCCTTCAGGATGAGTAAACCAAAAGACGTGTATTCAGTTCAAAACCTGCGTGCTCTTTTCGGTGGTTCTCCGTAGGACGTGGTATCAGAACCCCTTAATCTGTAAAGTCACGGGCTGGATGATGCCCCCTAAATCTGGCTAAACACAGCCAGGAGGTGGCTTTGGTCCTGGTGCCCGTCTTCAGGAAGTGAAACAGTCCCTACGACCCGGTGAGCCCACTCTCCGGGGAGCCCTGGCCTATGGGGGGGCTCCTTCCTTGTGGGGGGGACTTCTCCTGTGGGTCCCCCCCACATGGCTCAAGACTGAGTGTGTGCCTTGCTCCTTGATTATGATCCCTTGGAGTGGGTTGTTCGGGTCGGCTTCCTGGGAACGTCACGCCCTGTAGTGCGCGTGTGGGGCCTTTCCTCCTGGGGGGCTGGGAGGGAAGGGGAGTCTTGCAGAGGGGCTCAGGCTCTGCTGTAGGGTGCAGAGCCCTCAGGGCAGCCCCGGGAGGGCCCAAGGCCAGGGTGACCCTGTGCCCACCGGCCTGGGGGCAGACGGTCAGGGACGCCGTAGGGACCTGGGCCAGAGCTGGCGGCAGGGAGAGGCCACAGACAGCCCCCCGAGGCCAGCACCGGGGAAGGCTCGCTGCCACCTGTGCCTGCGGCCCTGCCGACTCCTGCGCCGCGCCACCCGGCCCTTCCTGGGCACACGTGCGAGCCAGCACTGGGCACAGCAGGCCCCGGCCGGGAACGTTGTCCCGCAGTGTGGCTGTGCGCTGCAGCCGGGCCTCCTGGGGCAGGGCGAGCTCGCACCTGCTGGCCTCCCCGCCGGAGCCAGCTGTGATGTGCTTCCTCTTCCTCCCCTGCAGGCTAGTGCAAGCCGCCTGCTGTCTGCAGCCTGACCAACCGCTCTTCGAAAGCAGGCCCTCCGGGAGACGTGGTTGCCACCCCTGGTACTCTGGCTGCTTAGACCGGCTCACACCGGGGCACTGGGGGCTGAGACCCCGGGACTCTGCAGGCACACCCTGCCCTGGCCTCTCTGGCTGCACCTTCCTGTTAGCACTGATGTACTGACCCTGGTGGGAGAGGGGAGGGAAGGCCAGGGCATGGCTGTTCCCCGGCCCCACCCAGGATCCTGAGCCTGGAAGGTGAAGGGGCTTCCGGAACTCCCAAGGGCTCCCAGGGGCCTCTGCCCATTGCCCTGCCCTCCCTTCGCCCTCACTGAAGTACCAGGACACTGCAACTTTGTTATCTGGGTAATTAGCTTCAGACCCTGGACTGAGGCTGTCCAGGTCCTGGGGTGCTTCCCACAGGCGCACCCTGACCCCAGGAGGGAGGTGAGGCCCTACCCGTTGAGCAGCTGAGGTGCCAGGGCTCTTGAGAGGCAGGCTACCCTTCCTGCCTGGGGTCCGTGTCCTTCAGGATTGCCTGGAGCCTCGTGACCTAGCCTTGCCAGGGGCAGAGGGCACCACCGAGCCTTAGGAAGGGGATGCCCCCAAGGGTGCTGGTCCAATCAGCTGCCCCAGTGCACAGGCCCAGTCTGGCCCCTGTGCTCCCCCATCTGGTACCCCAAGCAGCCCCCCTGGCAGGTAGCCCCCGCCATGGCCGAGCACCTGGAGCTGTTGGCAGAGATGCCCATGGTGGGCAGGATGAGCACGCAGGAGCGGCTGAAGCATGCCCAGAAGCGACGTGCCCAGCAGGTGAAGATGTGGGCCCAGGCTGAGAAGGAGGCCCAGGGCAAGAAGGGGCACCGGGAGCGGCCGTGGAAGGAGGCCCCCGGTGGCAGGCCGCAGAAGCGGGTCCTCTTCCCTCCCAGCGTCACCCTTCTGGAGGCTGCTGCCCGAAATGACCTGGAGGAAGGTGAGCGTGGCCGAGCCCCAGGGCAGGCCCTGTCCCTGGCCCAGCCCCTGAGAGCCGTGAGGGCACAGTGCCGTTGTGTGGAGGCCCAGGGCAGGCCCGCCGCCCTCTACTGCATGCTCTACGTGGTAGGCTGCCCACCGGAGGCCGGCCCCTCATGGGGCCGCATGCGCAGGGTGCTGCTGCGGGGGTGAGGTCGGTGGGCAGGGGCATTGGGGAAGCCCCCAGGAGTCTGGAGTAGTGCCGGGGGCTCGGCTCAGGTGGGCTGGGAGTGCCCCATAGTCTCCGCCACCTCTTGCCAGGGCACTGGGCGATGATCAGGAGAGTCCTGGCCACCACCTGCTTGGGTCCTCAGTCTCCACCTCTGTAAAGGAGGATGGTAACGCCCACCTCAGCAGGTTAGAGCGCGGAGGCAGGGGTCCCCCACAGGCCAGCCCACACAACACCTGCCTCAGGCCCTGTCTGACTTCTTCCTCCCCATCAGGACCTCCCTGGCTAGATGACAGGCCTGAGCTTTTGGCAGCCTCCTCATTCCTCCCCTGCCCCCTGCATGCTCACTGCTCTCGCGGAGAGACTCTGGAGGGCTCTTCCTGGCTTTCTGCAGGGCAGAGGGTGGGGTGCAGAGGGCAAGGAGGGACGGGCAGTGCCTCAAGGCAAGGGAAACAGGAGGGCGTGGTGGGTGTGCCCAGGCCATGGCCCGGGGAACTGTGGGAAGGAGGGCGAGTCCTCCTCCTGCCTGTGGAGCACCTGGGAGGGAGGGCCAGGCCACCAAGGAGGTCCAGGGTGACCTTGGCGGCAGCCTGGGCCCCCTGAAGAATGAGGACAGGGGCTAGCTCTGTGAAGAGTCAGACCCTGGAGGGGCCGGACTGGATGCCCTGGGCCCACGCTGCAGGCTGCGGCAGGGCAGGAGGCTACTCCGGGCGGGGCGTGTGTGGGATGGAAAGTCTGGAGGCGCATGGGACCCTGCGAGGGTGGTGTTGAGGGGGGCGCCGGAGCCCTGGCCGAAGTGGAATTGACGAGCCCAGTGGGGACTGCCCCACACGGGAGCCTGAGGGCTGGGGGGTCCTCCAGGGGCTGGAGGCAGGGCACGCGGCGGACGCACACTCGGGGCAGACGGAAACCCAGTGCCCCGGCCCTTGAGCCCTCAGCCTGTGCTCGGGGTCCCTCTGGCCGCCTGACCTAAGTCCTCCTCGCCGTCCCCCGCCTCCAGCCGCAGTCCCGGGCACCCTGACCGAGCAGGGCTGGTCTGTGGCCGGACCTCTGCCTCTGCACCCTCACCACACCCCGCTCCCCCCCTCACAGTCCGCCAGCTCCTCGACAGTGGGGTCAGCCCTGACCTGGCCAATGAGGATGGCCTGACGGCCCTGCACCAGGTCAGCCATGCGGGGGATTGGGGGGGGGGGGCGCGCACTGGCCCCGGACTCTGGCGCTCAGGCCCTGTGGTTTGTAGAGCTGCATCGATGACTTCCGAGAGATGGTGCAGCAGCTCCTGGACGCCGGGGCCGAGGTCAATGCCCGTGACAGTGAGAGCTGGACGCCCCTGCACGCTGCGGCCACCTGCGGCCACCTGCACCTGGTGGAGCTGCTCATTGCCCGGTAGGGCCCCGTCGGTGTGGCCACCGTGGGCACCTGTAGGAGGGAGGGATGCGGCCGGGCCAGGAGGGGCCGGGCCTTCCTTGCAAGCAGTGGTTCATCCCGGCACAGCCCAGGGGTCTCCTGCAGGAGGCATGCTGGGCCCTTGGCCTCCTGTGTTCCCACTCACCTTTGCTTCCCCTGCCTTCATCTTGGTGTGGAGGTCAGGGCCTGGGCCAAGGCTGCAGACGCCGTGACATCAGGGGAACAGGCATGTGCTCAGGGAAGTGTGGCCATGCGCCTGGGTGCGTTCTTCTGCCAGGCACCCTAGCAGTTTGGGAACTCCTTGAGGGCTTTGGCCTCTAGCTCGGGTCTCCCTGGGGTCTGCACAGAGACCTGCCATTCTGGACAGTGACAGGGTGGCAGTGACACAGATGGAGGGACACCTGGACACAGGGGTCTTTGACAAGGAGGGCGGGATGGGGCACATGCGCCTCAGTGAACGGGAAGGGTGGTCGGCCTCACCAGGGGGGCCGGGAATTCCCCCCACTGCCATGGCCCCTCAGCTCTGACCCCTGCGATGGAACAGATGGTCGGGGCTCAGGCTCCCCTGGAGGGGTCCAGGTGCTGAGGGTGGGAGTGTGGGCGGGAGGCAGTCTCCTCCTGTCGCATGTAGATGTCTCGGCGTGGGGGGGGGCGGGTGTACCCAGACGGTTCCTGTCCACAGTGAGCGCCCACCTTTGTGTTCTGAGCTCCCTTCAGCTCCCCGTCTTCTCCGGGGCCGTGCTTCTGCTTGAGCCTTGTGCCCTGCAGCTCTCTCCTGGCATCCAGGCCCTCTTCCTCCTACCTTTTGCTCCCTGGGGCTCTTGAGTGTGGCTCTGCCTCCCAGCTGGCAGGCCTGGGCTGACCGAGGCACATGGGTGTCAGGAACGTGGAGCTCAGGCAGGGGTGGGCACTGGGGCTTGGCCTGGCTGGCTTGAGGACAGGATCCAGAGCTCAGGGCCAGCCAGGTGGGCGCAAGGGCTTGGGCCACCTCCACATGTGACCCACACTGTCCCAGAGGGAGCCCCAGGCAGAGGGCTGATGCAGAGGGTGGACCTGGGGCCTCCGTGGCGGAGAAGGTTGCTGTGGTCAAGGCCCCTGCCTGTTCTTCCTGCAGCGGTGCTGACCTCTTGGCCGTCAACACTGATGGGAACATGCCTTATGACCTATGTGAGGATGAGGGGACGCTGGACTTCCTGGAGACAGCCATGGCCAACCGTGGTGAGTGCGAGCCCACTTGCCCACCAGTGGTGCCGGGGTGCCAGCTCTGAGCCCGCTGCCTTTCAGGCATCACCCAGGACAGCATCGAGGGGGCCCGGGCCTTGCCAGAGCTGCATATGCTGGACGACATCCGTGGCCTGCTGCAGGCGGGAGCCGACATCAACGTCCCCCAGGACCATGGGGCCACGCTGGTGAGGGTGGGGCCACGTGACCTGTGGGCGGGGGCTGCTGCTGGAGGGCACGGCGGGGACTCAGGGCTGAGGCGTCTGCCTGTAGCTACACGTCGCAGCTGCCAATGGGTTCAGCGAGGCGGCTGCCCTGCTGCTGGAACACCAGGCCAGCCCGAGCGCCAAGGACCAGGACGGCTGGGAGCCGCTGCATGCTGCAGCCTACTGGGGCCAGGTGAGCATGGGCCTGGGGGCAGCCAGGCCTGGCTGGTGGCTCCCGGCTCCTGGCTCCACGGCCTTCAGCAGCCCGGGTCGCCGGCCCTCAGGTGCACCTGGTGGAGCTGCTCGTAGCACATGGGGCCGACCTGAACGGGAAGTCTCTGATGGATGAGACGCCTCTCGGTGAGCTGGGGCTGCCTCTGCCAGCCAACAGGGCGGGCGGGAGGGCACCTGTAACCTCTGCCCGCTTCTCCTCAGACGTGTGCGGGGACGAGGAGGTGCGCACCAAGCTGCTGGAGCTGAAGCACAAGCACGACGCGCTCCTGCGCGCCCAGGGCCGCCAGCGCTCTCTGCTGCGCCGCCGCACCTCGAGCGCGGGCAGCCGGGGGTGAGCGCCCATGGTCGTCCCCCGGCTGTAGACACCCCGCCCGTCCTCCCATCTCCCTCCCCGCCTGCCCAGGCTTTGCCCCCACTGATGTTGCTGAGGTGCCAGCAGGGCCCCCGGTAGATCCATGGGGCGAGTGGCACCCTCCCCCACCCTCCCCCTGCCCTCCCCAGGAAGGTGGTGAGGAGGGTGAGCCTGACCCAGCGTACCAGCCTGTACCGCAAGGAGCACGCCCAGGAGGCCATCGTGTGGCAACAGCCACCGCCCACTAGCCCAGAGCCCCCCGAGGAGGACGAGGATGGCCGAACGGATGCAGAGCTGCGGCCTGTGCCCAGTGAGGTGAGCCCGACGCAGGTGGTGGGTCTGGGCGCTGCCCTCTGAGCGGTGCGGGCTTGTGGCCTGACGTCGGTGCCTCGGGCCTCCCGCCGCACCCGCCCTAGGAGTCGGTGGGACCAGTGAGCCAGTGCCCCCACTGGGCTAGTGCCCTAGGGCAGCTGCTGCCTGCACCCCTATGTCTGCTCCTCGGCTGCCACGCCGCCTGGTGCCCAAGGCCCGGGGAGGCCGGAGACGCCTTCCCGACGGCCTCTGAGGCCCCTGCTTCCCGGCAGGAGGAGGACCCAGAGTTGGCCAGGCTGCACAACGGCCGCGTGGGAGGTTCCCCAGGGCGGCACCTGTACTCCAAGCGGCTGGACCGGAGCGTGTCCTACCAGCTGAGCCCCCTGGAGAGCACCACCCCCGATGCCCTGGCCCACGCCAAGGCCCACCACACCCTGGCGGAGCTGAAACGCCAGCGAGCCGCTGCTAAGCTGCAGCGACCCCTGCCCGAGGGCCCCGAGCTGGGGCTGCCCGTGGACCCCGAGAGCCCCCAGCCATGCAGCCCCAGGGCCGCCGGAGACCCGCCCCTGCTGAGGCTCACGGCGCCCTCGGAGGAGGCCCCCATGGAGAAGAGGCCCTGCTGTCTGCTCATGTGAGACTGCCCTCGGGTGACTGACGACGCCCTGCTCCGGACCCCAGTGCTGCTGATGGGGGACGGCCCCTGGCGGAAGTCGTGCGGGGGGACCTGCTGCGGAGACCTAGTTTCATCCTGTGACTCCTGATAAAGGGCTGTTCCGCCACCTGCCTTGTTGTGTGCGTCGGCCGGGCCACCGTCCCGAGGGTGGGGAGCCGCGGTGTTGCTGCTTCTGGGTGTGCCTGCCCCTGTTGGGAGGCCTGTAGCTGCTTGCTTGTGGCTGCCTGGCCCTGCGTGGGAGTGAGGCCCATGGCCACTGGGCGAGAAGCCCGGCCTCCTTGCCTTCCCGGCCTCCCGGAGGCTCCCCTGTAACTCTTCACCTTCCTGAGAGCAGCAGGGAGCTCTGCAAGGACATTCCTTGGGGGGTGGGGCGGGGGGCATCCGTGCCACAGGGGCCGGGGGGGCCTGGCTTAGAACAGGGAGAGGGGTTTCCACAGGCCTCTGGAGCTGTACGCCGGAACATTGGCGCGAGGCTGGAGTCCGAAGCCTCCCTGGGGGATGAGTCCCCCGATCCTGGCATGGGGCCCCGATCCCGGGACCTGGCTGCCAGCCTCCGCCTGGGCTGACAAGGGGGCCAGTAGTTGGCCGGCCAGATTCACAGCGTGTCAGGGTGACAGGGGTCCCTTAGGGGCCTCGAGTGGGAGGGCAGATGGCACCACCAGCTCCTCTGTCCCTGGGGGCAGCTCCGCATGACCACCAGTGCCCAGTGACACGGGCTCAGGTCACCTCCTTCTGGTGGGCACTGACCCAGTCAGCCCGGTGGCAGCCGGGCCCCCCTTCCCTGAGCAGCACTGGTTGCAGGGGTGTCCCCAGCAGGGCTGGGAGGGCCAGGGAGAGGCTGCAGGTTAAATTTAGTGTGTGGGGTAGCGCAGCTGCCACGTGAGCCTTACTGCCAGGGGGTGGGAGGGTCTGGTGCTGCCTGGGGCTGGGATCATGTTAACCTGTGCTCTGCCTGGGGGCCAGAGGGCAGGCCTGTGCACTGGGAGGGCGGGGGGGGGGCGGTGCCCGAGGTGGGCAGAGGCGCAGAGTGAGACCAGCCTGGCCGCCCAGGGCTCCTGCTCTTTCCTTTCCAGCCAGTGAGCGGGGGAGGCCAGGCCGCCCCAAGGCCTGACCAGCTGCCACAGCCCCTCGCGGAGGGTGGAGGGATGGCTCCTTGACCTTCCGTTGAGTCAGCTGTCAGCCGCTGGGGCAGCCACCCCTGGGCATGGCCTATCAGCGCCCTTCGGGGCCTGGGGAGGTGGGGCCCCGGGGGCCTATCACAGCTTGCTTCCCACTGTCCCTGCCAATCAGGAGCAACAGGGAGGGGAGCTTAGGTCACCCTGCGATGTGGCCCCAAGGGCAGCCCCGGGCTGGTGCATGGTGAAAGGGCACGACAGTGGCCGCTCTGAGCCGAGGTGTCCCAGGGCCCTCCGAAGGCCCGGAGCTGCCCTACCCTGGCCCCCGGCACCCCAACCCAGAGGCTCTGGCCCCCACCACTTGCTGACTGGGACCAACGTCCAAGCAGGGCTCCTGTGGCCTGCGGTCTGTGGTTGCCAGCGCAGGAGGGGTTCCCCTCCCCCATAAGGCCAGGATTCTATAGAGGCCTGGCCCAGTTACCTGGGAGACGGGCCGCTGGCCCACGCTAAGATGGGGGGCCTGAGAGGGCTCGGCCTTGGCAGAGCCCTGCTGGGGTAAATCTCCAGGGGCCCAGCTCCAGTTCCCTGGGGCTTTGGCTCTGCCCAGCCCTGCCAACCCCTTCAGGCACTCAGCGCACCTCCCCCCAACGCCCAGGCCCTCAGAGTTTCTTGAACCTTCTGTCCATCCCTCCCCCTATGAAGGTCTCCTGCTCCCCTGTCATGGGGACACTGGGCGGGTGCTGGGCGTCACCCCAAGCCCCGCCTGCCTCCTCCTGTGCTCCCTATGGCTCCCTGGGGCAGAACTGTGCCCGGACGGTGGGGCGGGGCCCAGCAGCCCGGCTGCTTCTTCAGCCCTTCCTGTCCCTTTCAGTGGGGCCAGCAGCCTGCTGCGAGGAGGGTGCCCTCTACCCTGAGCGCCCTTCCCCTGCTCCCTGTTCCCAGCCCTGGCCCACTGAGTCTGGACTCAGCACCCCTTAGTCCCACTTCTGGATCCTGCCGTCACCTGACCTTCCTGCCTGGTCTGAGTAGGATCATGGCCTTGAGGGCAGGTGACCAGGTTGCAATGAACGGGCTGAAGGAGAAGGTGCTGACGCTGGACACCATGAACCCATGTGTGCGGAGGGTGGAGTATGCCGTGCGCGGTCCCATTGTGCTGCGTGCCCTCGAGCTGGAGCAGGAGCTGCGCCAGGTATGGCCCTGGGCCCCACCACTTTCCTCCAGGCTGCACCCGGGCAGCCCGTCCCCACAGTCACACAGGACAAGGACCCGCCAGAGGGATCAGGCCCCTCCTCACCGCGTGGGCCCCTCCCTCCCAGGGAGTGAAGAAGCCCTTCACTGAGGTCGTCCGCGCCAACATCGGGGATGCACAGGCCATGGGGCAGAAGCCCATCACCTTCCTGCGTCAGGTGAGGCTCAGCCTTGCCCGGGAGCCCTCCCCCGTCAGCCCAGGCGCTCTGGCCTCAGGATCCGCCCCTTCCAGGTCCTGGCCCTCTGCGTCCATCCGGATCTCCTGAACAGCCCGGACTTCCCAGAGGATGCCAAGAAGAAGGCGGAGCGCATCTTGCAGGCATGTGGGGGACACAGCCTGGGTAAGTGCCAGGGCCAGGGCCAGGACGAGCGGCTGGGAGGCTGTCCCAGGGGAGGGGTGGGCCCGCCTGCTGGAAGAGGCGGCGGAGAGGTCCGGGAGCACTGCTAAGGGACCTCTCGGTGCTCTTCTTCCCGCTCTGCCCCCCGCCCCTGGGCCCAGGGGCCTACAGTGTCAGCTCCGGCATCCAGCTGATCCGCGAGGATGTGGCTGAGTACATCAAGCGGCGGGACGGAGGCATTCCCTCGGACCCCAACAACATCTACCTGTCCACCGGGGCCAGCGACGCCATCGTGGTAGGCCAGGGCCAGGTCAGGAGGACACCGCTGGGCGGACCCTGCTCCTCCTGGCACCGCGGTTCCAGGCAGGGCAGGAACAGGTGCAGCCCCTATGGGCCCCACCAACGGCGCCTGCCTCCCTCCCCTACAGACGGTGCTGAAGCTGCTGGTGGTCGGAGAGGGCCCCACCCGCACGGGGGTTCTCATCCCCATCCCGCAGTACCCGCTGTACTCGGCTGCCCTGGCCGAGCTCAACGCTGTGCAGGTGGACTACTACCTGGATGAGGAGCGCACCTGGGCACTAGACGTGGCCGAGCTGCGGCGCGCCCTGTACCAGGCGCGGGCTCACTGCCGCCCCCGCGCACTGTGCGTTATCAACCCTGGCAACCCCACCGGTGCGCCGCCCATCGCCCCAGCCCTCCCGCCCCCCCGCCCCACCCTTCACCCCTGGGAGCTCCGGAGCTCGGAGCCTGAGTCTGACCCCGCCGTGCTGCCTCCCCCCGCACCCCAGGGCAGGTGCAAGCCCGCGAGTGCATCGAGGCCGTGATTCGCTTTGCCTTTGAGGAGCGCCTCTTCCTGATGGCCGATGAGGTGCTGGCAGGGGCCCGCCTGGGCTGGGGCCCGAGGGCGGCGGCTGCCCCCGCCCCTGACGCCGGCCGCCCCGCAGGTGTACCAGGACAACGTGTACGCCGAGGGCTCGCAGTTCCACTCGTTCAAGAAGGTGCTCACGGAGATGGGGCCGCCGTACGCGACGCAACAGGAGCTCGCCTCCTTCCACTCGGTGTCCAAGGGCTACATGGGAGAGTGCGTGCAGGCCCGCAGACTGGGCGGCCCGGGCTCCTCCCCCAGCCGCCTGCACAGCTGCCTCGCCTCGCAGGTGCGGCTTCCGCGGCGGCTACGTGGAGGTGGTGAACATGGACCCCGCGGTGCAGCGGCAGATGCAGAAGCTGATGAGTGTGCGGCTGTGCCCGCCCGTGCCCGGCCAGGTCCTGCTCAGCACCGTGGTCAGCCCGCCCGCACCAAGCGACCCCTCCTTCGCGCAGTTCCAGGCTGTGAGCGGGTGGGGGCAGGACGAGGGTGGGGGTGGGGGCTGGAGACAGGGTACGGCGGCGGGGCGGGGCAGGCTCCACCGGCCCTGCGGGTCTGGGTCTCCTAGATCAGATCTGCTCCCCGCCCCCCCGCCCCCCCTCCCCCGTGGCCGCAGGAGAGGCAGGCGGTGCTGGCGGAGCTGGCCGCGAAGGCGAAGCTCACTGAGCAGGTGTTCAACGAGTCCCCGGGCATCCGATGCAACCCGGTGCAGGGCGCCATGTACTCCTTCCCTCGTGTGCAGCTGCCCCCCGCGCCGTGCAGCGCGCTCAGGTCGGGGTCCCCTGCGGGCGGGGGCCGCGGCGGAGGGCACAGGCTGGGGCGCCGCACTGACCTCCCCGCGTGCCGCCCGCCCCAGGAGCTGAGCCTGGCCCCGGACATGTTCTTCTGCATGCGCCTCCTGGAGGAGACCGGCATCTGCGTGGTGCCCGGCAGCGGCTTCGGGCAGAGGGAAGGCACCTACCACTTCCGGTGAGGCCTGGCCCCACTCGGCCCAGCCCGGCAGCCCCAGCACGTCCGCTTACCGAGCTCCCCCTTTAGGATGACCATTTTGCCCCCCATGGAGAAGCTGCGGCCTCTGCTGGAGAAGCTGAGCCAGTTCCACGCCAAGTTCACCCGAGAGTACTCCTGAGGCACCCCCCCCCTTCCGGGCCAGGCTTGGCCGGCAGGGCCGACTCTGGACTTAGGATGGCCGGGGCCCTGGGGGTCTCTGCAGCCCCCTGGACTTGCTCCTGCTGCCTGTGGGGCTGGGCCCCAGCCTTCCTGCGCGCCCCTAATAAAGCTACGAGGCAGCCTGACCACTCAGAGGCTGTGTGCACACCTGCCTGTGCGGGCCACCTTCCTCTCTGGGCTGGGGTTCTGTGCAGGGTATTGGTTGGCCTCCGGCAGGAGTGGTCGCAGGGGGCTCCCAGAGGAGGCGACCTTCCTGCCAACGCAGCGCCTCCCCCAGGCTGGTCTCCACTGTGGTCTCTGGACTGGAGGCCGGCACCTGCAGGCCTCACAGAGGTGTGAGAGGTGTGGAGGGCACTCGGCTGGGGGCGGGGCTGGATGGAGAAGCAGGGGCTGAGTCCAGAGGTGGCCACATCAGAAGGAGCCTGAGGAATACCAAGGGGTGTCCCCCCTGCCTGGCTCCCCTCCTGGACTGGCCTGCAGCACCGGGCACTAGAGGACGGACTGGGCTGGGGGCAGGCAGTGGGAGACAACAGTGAGGCCCCCCGGGCGGGGGGTGCTGGCAGCCTCAGTGTTCCTCCTAAATGGGCAGCTGGCACGCGGCTGCCACCTGAGGCTGCTGGGGGAGCGGCCGTGCCAAGAGCTGGGAGGGAGCGACAGGGAGCAAATGGGTCTTGCTTTCTTTGCGTTGGGCTTGAAGCGTGTGACCCCGTAGTGGAGACGCAGCCCTTGCGCTGGAGGCGGGCGGTGGCTCCCACCCTGGGGCACCCAGGGGCGCGGGCCGGGAGAGGGGCGCGTGGGGTGCGGCCGGAGGGGCCGTGGGAGGCCCAGGCTGGGGGGCCGAGCCGCCCTGTCCCTGCCGCGGGACGCAGGAGCACCTCCCGTGCGCGGTCCACCTGCTTGTGGCCGCCGCAGTCCACCTGTTAGGGAGCCTTGTAGGATGACAGGTGGCTTCACCCGCCGCCGCTCGGGGCGCCACGGGTGGGGAGAGCGGCCCGAGGGCTTCGGACGTGGGTCTCGGCCACGGGCCACTCCCTGCCCCCGCGGGGCCCGGAGCCGCGGAGCTGCAACTCTAGGAGGACCGACCCCCGAGGCCCGGGACGCGGCCAGCGGGGGGCGCCCGAGGGCAGGCGACGCTCTGGCCCGCCCGCCGCTCTGTGGCCGCCGAGTTCTGCGCCTGCGCGCTGCGCTCGCCCGGCCCCGCGCCCTGTGCTGTCGGCGGCGGCGGCGGCTCCCGCGGCCTCGTCCCGCCCCGGCCGGACCGAGTGGGCCATGCGCGGGAAGCTGCTGCCGCTGGCCGGCCTCTACCTGGTGCAAGGCCTGCCCTACGGGCTGCAGTCTGGCCTGCTGCCCGTGCTGCTGCGGGCGCGGGGCCTGTCGCTGACCCGCGTGGCGCTGGCCAAGGTGCTGTACCTGCCCTGGCTGTTGAAGCTCGCGTGGGCCCCCCTGGTGGACACGCGGGGCTCCCTGAGGACCTGGCTGACGCTCAGCACGGCCGCCCTGGGCCTGGTGTGCGCGCTGCTGGCCGCCCTGCCTCCCGCCGCGGGCTCCGTGGGGCTGCCCGCCACCGTGGCAGGGCTGCTGCTGCTGCTGAACCTCGGGGCGGCTGTGCAGGACGTGGCCCTGGACACGCTGGCCGTGCAGCTCCTGGAGCCCGCCGAGCTGGGGCCCGGGAACACCGTGCAGGTGGTCGCCTACAAGCTAGGGGCTGTGCTGGCAGGAGGGGGCCTGCTGGCCCTCGTTCCCGCGCTCTCCTGGGCCCTGCTCTTCGTGCTCCTGGCTGCTACCTATTGGCTGGCCGCTGCCCTGGTCTGGGCCGCGCCGGCCCTGCGGCAACTGCCCGTGCACCAGCCCCAGCCCTCAGAAGCACCCCTGCGCACCCTGCACCTTCTGCAGGACTTGCTGGCCATGCCTGGTACCCTGTGGACGGCAGGCTTTGTGCTCACTTACAAACTGGGTAAGTGAGGCCTTGGCTCAGGCACGGCAGGGATGGGAGCCTGGGGGAGCTCTGGCTGGGTCCCCGGGAGCCCTGGCGCCCACTTGGTGGTCACCTCCTGGGCGCTCACAGCCGGGCCTTGCCCCTTGTCCTTCTGCAGCTGTAGCTGCACGGCTTCCGGGAGCTGCGACCACCCCTCGGGTCTCTGGCGCTGCTTCGTGCTGACCCTAAGCTTGGCTGATGCCCCGTCCCAGCTGTCTCCTGGCAGCGAGGCCCCAGGTGGAGGGAGGTGGGGAGCCTTGCTCGTTCTCCCCACAGGTGAGCAGGGCGCCAGCAGCTTGTTCCCGCTCTTCCTGCTGGACCAAGGCATCTCCACCCCAGAGCTGGGGCTGTGGAACGGTGTGGGCGCAGTGCTGTGCTCCATTGTGGGCTCGTCCCTGGGCGGGGCCCTGCTATCCCGGCACTGGTGAGCCCGCCCCGGTGAGCCCGCCCCGGCCCCCTGCCCCCGCCCTGCCCCATGCTCCCTGACCTGCCCGCGTCCCCCTCAGGCAACCTCTGCCCCTGCTGAGGTCAGTGCTCCGGTTCCGTCTTGGCGGCCTGGCCTGCCAGACCGCCCTGCTCTTCCACCTGGATGGCCCAGGACTCAGGCTGGGCCCCAGCGCAGCCCTGAGAGGTGAGGGGCTGGCCGTGGGAGGGGAGGAGTGTGGCGCCCTGGGCCCCACTGACGGTGGCCCTCCCAGGGGCAGCCCTGCTGAGCCTGTGTCTGCAGCACTTGCTGGGGGGCCTGGTTACCACCACCACGTTCACCCTGATGATGCGCTGCAGCCAGCTGACACCCAGTGCCCTGCAGGTGAGGGAGGGAGTGGCTGGGGCATCCAGGGGGCTGCGGGGCTGGACCCAGGCAAACCCTCACCTGATGGCACACCTCATCCCCCCCACCCCTGCAGGCCACACACTACAGCCTCCTGGCCACTCTGGAGCTGCTGGGAAAGCTGTTTCTGGGCACACTGGCCGGAGCCCTGGCTGACAGCCTGGGGCTGCATCTCTGCTTCTCCCTCTTCCTCGGCCTCTCAGGCTTGCCCATTCTGTATCTGAGCCTGGCACCCAGCACCCTGGCCTGAGCTGGGTGGCCAGCCTGCCTAATAAAGCTGAGCGTGCCCCTAGCTGCCTGGACTGCGTGATAGCCAGGGCTGTCCCGACACCATAGGGGCCGCCTGGTCAGAAAAGAGGGCTCCTGAGAGTGGCTTGAGCATTTTTTATTCTGCATTTTGGGGCATCCTTGCCCCACCACACTTCTGGTGGTGGGCCTTGCCCAGGGTTGTCAGCCATTGTCGTGGACATCTGTGCCCTTTTCCCCTGACAAAGTCCACACCGGGCTCCCTGCACGCTGGCCACGCAGCCCCTGGCGCGTGCCTGTCGTGACACAAGGGAGCAGGGCCCGCCCCAGCAGGGTGTTCAGGGGCCGCACCGCAGGATCTCCTCTGTGGCTATGCGCATCAGGGCATGGAAGCTGAGGTGCAGGAATCTCCTCCAGAAGCGCCGGTCCCGCCCGTACACCTGCGCCGGGTAGCGGGGGCTTCCTATGGTGGGAAGGGGGACGCGGCCCTGAGGACTCTGGGCCAGGCCTGGCTCCTAGCCCCACACCTAGCCCCTGCCCGGTCCGAGCCCAGCCTCCCGGGCCCTCACCGATGCCGTGGAAGATACGGGCCACGGCCCTGCCTGAGAACTGCTGGTCTGGCCACGAGGACAGCAGGTGGCGGATGTCCTGGCGAACCTGGTCCTCCCAGTCCTGGATCTGTGGGCGATGGCGGTGGAGCGTGTGAATGTGTGCACACCCATGCGTGCCTGTGGCCTCCCAACCCTGCTGCGGGCTTGTATTCTATCCATAATCCCCCCCAAGAGAGACTAGCACCCACCTTCTCCTGTCCGGGCTCCAGGGCCTGCTCATCTTCCGAGCCCCCTGGACCCTCCTCCTCCTCCTCGAAGTAGCCGCTGAGCAAAGCCTTGAGCCTGGTGCTGCGCTCCTCATCAGGCTGCTCCAAGCAGGGCCCGCAGCTGGGGAAGGCCACGCTGTGGGGGCAGGGTTCCGTTACAGCGGCTCACTACGCCTGCCCCAGCCCCCACCCACCCCTCCCCTACCTGAGAAAGGCCTGGAAGATGCGGCGCAGGCGGGCCAGGGCCTCCTGCTCTCGGGCCTGTATGTGTCCGTACAGGAAGTCACAGATCTGGTCCCTCTCGTGGGCAGTCAGGTCCCCAGGACTGTGCACACAGAAGGCGAGCTCCCCGAACTCCACCTGCACCCCCGTGCCCCCACGTGCACCTGCCAGAGAGCTCATCAGACACGGGCAAGCAGGTGGCAAGCAGGCCTGGGGGCTGGGCAGGGCTGCGGGCTGGGCTGGGGGCAGGGCGCACCTGTCCTGGGCTCCAGGTCCCACTGCAGCTGACGGAGAGCCTGCCGCACGCGGCCCAGCTTCCAGCCCAGCGAGTCAGCCAGGTTAAAGACGTCAAACTCTACAGAAGCGCTTCCCCCACCTGTGGTGTTCGCTGGCTGCTGGGCCAAACACACAGCCAGGGGGGGGCACCTGGGCCAGGGGGAGGGACATGTGATTAGCAGTCCCAGTCCTGTGTCCTGGGCCCCAGCCGGGGATGGGACACGTGCTCACCTGCGGGCCAGGGCCTGGAGCTGGGTGGGGCCCCCAGGGCAGCGCAGGCGGCAGTGGGCATAGGTGGGTGCCAGCAGCTGCAGCCAGCGCTGCGGGTGTAACTCCAGGTAGCACAGCAGGGTCTCAATGGCTGCAGGCAGAGCAGGGCTCAGGGGCTTTGGGGACATGGGCATGAGGGGGCGTGCCCATCCCTACCCCCAGGTCCTCACCCTCCTCAGGCATGTCCAGGGCTTCCACCAGCGCCCGCATGGGCAGTGCCCGCGTGTGGCCTGGGCACCGGGCTGTGCCTTTGCTGTTGGGTTGCTCGGCCTCCATCAGGGATGGGGCCACAGGCTGCTCTTGACTCCTGGCTCCCTCCTGCTCCGGAGGCCGTGGGGCGTGGGTGCAGGTGCAGGGCGGGAATGCGCGCTGGACCAGCTTCTTCATCGTGAGAAAGTCCATGGCATCAGCGTGCACGTGTCTGCGCAGCTCCTGCAGGTCCTGGCTCTGCAAGAGAACGGCCGTGGACCCGTGGCTGTGGGGTGGGGCCGTGGACCCGTGGCTGTGGGGTGGGGTGGAGTGGGGTGGGCTGGGCTGGGAGGAGCTCGAGTGGGGCAGGTGAGAACCTGGGGCTGCAGGAAGAGGTGGCAGTGTGCAGGCTGGCCGTCACGTCCGGCCCGGCCCACAGCCTGCACGTAGCTCTCAAAGCTGGCAGGCAGCCCCAGGTGCAACACAGCCCGCACGTCTGGCCGGTCCAGCCCCATCCCGAAGGCCACGGTGGCCACCACCACCCGCAGACGCCCCTCCATGAAGGCCTGTTGCACCCGTCGCCGCTCCCGCGGACACATGCCAGCATGGTAGGCCTCGGCGACAGCCTCGGGCTGGCCTGCGGGGGAAGACACAGGCGGTTGGCTGGGATGGGCGGGGGGGGGGGGGCGGGCGCGGGGCACAGTCCTGCTGACCTCACCTCCAGGCCCGAGGTCCCAGGCCTCACGCAGGCAGGTGCGGAGCAGCGCAGCGACTCGCTCTGTGTCCCCGCGTCTGTGGCAGTAGATGATGACTGAGCTCAGAGCGCGGAAGCGATCACTCTGCAGCAGTGTCACCAAAGCCTGGTGGGGGACAGTGGTCAGGAAGGGGCCGTCACAAGGCAGTGCCCCTGCCTGGCCCAGGGTGCTCATCTACCTGGTCTGGGTCCCTGTCCCTGGACACAGAGAGGTGCAGGTTGCTGGGGACGGTGGCTGGCCCCCTGAGGACCAGCTCCTCGGCCACGCCTAGATGCCGGGCCACATCTCTCGCGGTGCTGCGTGTAGCCGTGGCTGTGAGACCCAGGAAACAGTGCACACCCATGTGTTCCCGCAGCACCTGTGTGGGAGCAGTGCCTGTGAAGGGACCTGACCCCTCTCCCTGGCCTGCCCGCTCGCACCTCTGAAGCTTACCTTGCAGACACGCAAGTAGCAGGGCCGGAAGTTGTGGGACCACTGGGAAATGCAGTGGGCCTCATCGATACAGGCGAAGGCGACCGGAGGCAGCTGGGGGAGGTGGCCAGGCGTCCCCACCCCAGCCCCCACCAGCGTCTCGGGCGACAGCACCAGCAGCTGCACCTGGGCCGCATGAACCTGAAGACGCAAGGTCAGGCGCGTCACCCGAGGGCCAGCTGCCCCCCTGCCTGTCCTGCCGTGTGAGGCCCCTCACCTTCTGCAGGGCCGACTCGCGCTGCTTCTGGCTCAGGCCCGAGTGGATGCAGACCCCCTTCAGGCACGGGGGCAGGCTGGACACCTGCGGGTACAGGGTGACAACCGGATGGCCCTTCCTCACAGGCCCCTCAGCTGCTCAGCCTGACAGCTACTGCCCTCGGCCTCGGGCGCCCCAGGAACGGAAAGCTCAGGTCACAGACCCCATGACTACAGACTCAGGGCCACTAGGGAGCCTTGGTTCAGGAGCCCCGGGAGCAGACGGGCCGCCCCCTCCCCAGGGTTGTTCTCCCCGAGGGAATCCTGCCTGAGCAGCCATGTCCCAGCTGCCCTCGGGCCACTGCCAGGCCTTGATGCAGCTCTGTGTAGCTCCGGTCGGGCAACAAGCAGCAGCCCCAAAGGGTCAGAAGACACACGGGCAAGGTCTGTGCACCTGGTCGTCCATGAGCGACAGGAGGGGAGAGATGACCAGCGTGAGGCAGGGGCTCCGCCGGGCATAGAGCAGCGCGGGAAGCTGGTAGCACAGGGACTTGCCAGCACCAGTGGGCAGCACCAGCAGCGTGGACATGCCTGGAGGGACCAGGGGTCAGTACTGCTGCTCTGTGGCCAGGCCCTGACCTTGCCTCGTCCCCCCGGGCAGCTGAGCTCACCAGAGAGGATGCGCATGACCACCTGTTCCTGCCTGGGGCGGAAGGCTTGGTGCCCCAGCTGCTCTAGGGCCTGGAACACCTCAGCTGGGGTCTCTGTGGACACAGGTATTGGCCAACACGGCTCCAAGTGGTCCCCACGCCCCAGCGAAGGCTCTGGGCGGCCAGGCTCTTGCTCACCTGCCACCTGCCCCGAGAGCCCTGGTGGGTAGAGTGGAGGCACAGTGGGGGGTGGGCAGGGGACCTGCAGCACTGGCTGCTCCATGGTCACCAACCGCTCAGGCCCAGCGGGCTCCGTGTCTTCTTCACTCACTGGGAACAGACAGGGGAAGGTGGTATGGGAGTTCCAGGCTCAGATGAGCCCAGTGGGCCGCAGCCTGCCCTCCGCCCCCTCATTCACCAGGGAGCCGGCAGCTGGTGCTGCCCTTCCTCCGGGGGCCCTCCTCCGGGGTGAGCTGGGGCTGTACCTCCTCTTCCTTCTCACTGCTCGTCTGGGGGCCCCAAGTAGCCTCTGTGTCAGATACAAAGAGCTTAACTTGAACTACAATTGCCACCGCCCCACACACAGAGTACAACTCTTCTCTAAACAGGGTTAGCGTGACCCCTCACCCGGAGCGGAGACTTCACCTGGCTGGGGGCACTGGGATGACCAGTGGCCGAGCTGCCCACATCGGAAGCAAGAATCGTCGGCTGTGGCTCGGGCTTGGCCGCCTCCAAAATGCTCCCCCTTCTTCTGCCACTTCTGCTTCCACATCTGAGGACCACAGAGGAACATCACAAGGCGAAAGGCGGCAGGGATGAAGGGAGCACCTGCCACTACCTCACCTGCTTGCGGAGGAGCCTGCCGCGTTGTGCTGGGCCTCGCACGTAGCGTTTCTGCTTCAGGTTGAGCCGAACATAATTACCTTGGTCCCGCATGACTAAGCTAGAAAGGATGTACGAGCGGGTCGTACCCAAAGCCTGCCCCTGCCTCGGTTCACAGTGACCCCACTGGGAGGCTGAAGCTGTGGTACCTGGTGGCTGTGGGACCACTGGCGGGCTGTACCCTCAGGGGTTCTCCTGGACAGTCTTCTGCAGGTTCCGCAGCCCCGGCTTCCTCAGGCGGGGGTCCCGCTTGGGCGCCGTCCTGCTGCGCCTGTGCAGGAACCCCTCCTGGTTCCTTAGTCCGTCTCCGCTTCTTACCTTGACTGTTGCCAGCTTTGGGGCTCCCTGCACCGACTGCAGCTCTCTGCAGGGCTCGACCCTCGGGGCCAGGGCTGGCTCCAAGGACCGACGGGACCCCCGAAGTCAGAGGCCGTGACTCCTCTACACCCAGGCTGGGCTGGCGGGCCGCGGAAGCCCCCAGGCAATCTGAGGCCGCACCGTTACAGCGCTCTAGCCAGCCTGGGTCTAGGGAGCTCAAACGTAGGCTCAGGGATGCCTGCAGCTGCCGAAGGCGGCCTGGCCTGGGCTGGGGCCCAGGAGGCTGGAGTGGCTCCTCCCTGACTACTTCTGCAGAGACGGGGGCAGCCCCTGCACCTGGTGGCCCGGGGGAGGGCATCTTGGACGAGAGTCTCCGTGGAGGCCGGGGTATGCCGCCCAGGGCTGGCCCAGCCTGAAGGGGGAAGCACAGACCAGGAAGGAGGCTCGGGTGCGGGCTGCTGCGGCCTCCGAAACCCGCCACATCAGCCGCCCTGGGACAGGGGCGGGGGAGGAGCCCGAGGTCGGCTCCGAGGGTCTCGGGTCGCCCCGCTCCCCGCTGGAAGGGCACGTGTGCGGGCAGGTTGGGGAGAAAGGCTGTGGGGTGGCCGCCCTGGACCCTCACCTGGCGCGTGGCTCTCAGGTTGGCTTTAAGCCTCGCCCCGTAGTCGGTCGCGGCCCCCGCAGAGCCTGGCGCAGAGCCAGCGGCGTGAGGACTCCGCGTCGCTGCCCGACTCAGGTGCGGCCCCCAGCAGCTGGGCTCCTGCATCTGCGGGGAGACACGGCGGGCGTCTGAGCCCCCCCCCCCCGGCCCCAGGTCGTGCCCCGGAGAGGCTGGCGGGCCGGCGCCCCCAGGCCTCGGTACCTCCTCCGCCGTCGGCCGCGGCTGCTTGGGGCTGCAGGGTCCCGCGCCGCCGGCCCGGCTCAGGGCCCTCCTCAGCGCGTGGTACTCCCGGTAGAGCGCTGCGGGTGCGGCCAGGGGTCAGCGGGGCCGCCGGGCTCCGCCGCCCCCCCGCCCGCCGCCCCGCGCGCTCACCGCGTGTCTCCTCCGGCGCCGCCCGCACGTCCTCCTGCGGAGGAAGCCCGTCAGCTCGCAGCCGCCCGCCCCTGGCCCGGCCCGGCCGCCCCTGGCCCGCCCGCACCTGGCCCGGCCGCCGCCCGCGCTGCCGCCGGAACGCGCGCTCCCAGGCCTGCAGCCGCCCGCGCACGTCCCGCAGCCGCTCCATGGCGCCGCACCCCAGCCCGGGCCCGCGAACCTCCCGCCGCCGCGGCCGCCGGCCAATGGGGGCGCCGGGCAGGGCGGGAGGCGGGGCGGCTCGGCCGCGGCGGCGGGACAGCCAATCCGCGGCGCCCGGGGGCGCGGCCAATGGGGGGCGGCTACGTCATCGCGGAGCGCGGGGGCGGGGCGCGGCGGACGGCGAGGCGGGGCCGGCGGCGGCGGCGGTGGCGGCGGCGGCGGGGCCGGTGAGCGCGGGCCGCGGGCCGGGGACGGCGCGGGCGCTGGGGGCGGCGCCGCCCGGGAGGCGGGGGCGGGAGCCGGCGTAGGGAGGGCCTGCAGCCGCGGGGCGGGCGCTCCGGCTCCGTGGGGCAGCGGCACATCCGGGAGGCGGAGGGCGTCGCGTGGAGGGACCCCGCGGCTTGGAGCGGAGGCCGCGGGGATTGGGGCGGGGGCGGCCCCGCGGGGGCTCCTCCCACGGCGACCACACTGGTTGCTCTCGCTTCCTCTCGTGACAGGTGCTCGGTGGGGCTGTCCTGTCGCGGCGAGGTATAAGTCGTCCTCGCGAGATTTGCCTGCAGGCCGAGCAGGGCCGGGGCGGCGGCCGGGGCTTCTCCGGACCCCGCGCCCGGAGGACCTCCGTCGTGCCCGAGGCCGGGGAGCGGGGCCTGTGCGGCGGGGCCTGTGCGGCCGGAGCTCCCCTGCCCCGAGCGCATCGCGCGGGCCGTGACCTTGGCGTGGCAAGGCTTAGGTCTTAGTGCTCTGACGTGCTTGCAGGGGTGTGGCTGGGAAGCAGTTTGAGGATGAGGAGGATGCGGTGTTTGGCCCACAGTAAGTCCGCTGGAGTCAGGAGCGCAGCTGATGGCCAAGTGCCCGTCACCGTGGGCGCTTCCCGCGGCCCCTGCTCTGCTGCTGCCTCCCCTCCTCTGAGCCTTTCCCTGCCTGGGGCCTCCTGAATCACGTGGTCGTCGAGGGGAAAGGGGGTGTTCAGACGGTGGCCAGGATCTTGGTGGCTGGGGTTTGCTTCCTGTGAACCTGCGGGGATCCCCGTGCTTGGCAGTACTGCCGGCCGCAGGTAGGGCCCGAGGATCAGGCCTGTGTGGACGCCGTGTTCCCGCCCTCGGGCCTCTCTGCCTCTGCTGCTGTCTCTGGTGCAGTGGCTGCCTGGGTTCCTGAGGACCACCTGCAGGAGCTGGGGGGGCGGGGGGCGGTACACAACTTGTGATGCAGTTTCCAGCCCCTTAGGAGTGTCCTACCTCCTCCAGCGCTTGGGGGTGTGGGAAGGTCCGAGCTCTATTCTACCTTTGAGGAAGAGACGGTCTCTGATAAGCAGCTTTGTGATTTGGGAGGCCTCACGTACAGGTTGTGCGCGGGGAGGCCCTGCAGAGCAGTAGCCATCAAAAGCACATCCAGGCAAGCTGGTCGTATGTGATGCTGGGCTGTTTGTGTGCTGTTTGAGGGCTCTGTTTCCCTGAGGAGGCCCCGTGTGGCTGGAGGGAGGGAGGGAACTGGGGGGTGGCTTCGTTCCTGTTTCTACTGAGACCGTTGCTAGGCACTTAACACTTGCTCTTCGGTGCAGTGGTCCTCCACTGAGTGCCAGCTCCGTGCCCGGTCCCATGCTGGGCTTTCTCACCACCAGTGATGGAGGAGGCTGTGGCCAGGTGGTGGCCTGGGGTCTGTCCTCCCTGCTGAAGGGCCCTTCCCTGCAGGTGGCTTCCTGCCTGGCCCAGCGCCATGCACACGCTTGTGTTCCTGAGCACGCGGCAGGTGCTCCAGTGCCAGCCAGCGGCTTGCCAGGCCCTGCCCCTGCTGCCTCGAGAGCTCTTCCCCCTGCTGTTCAAGGTGGCCTTCATGGACAAGAAGACTGTTGTGCTTCGCGAGCTGGTGCACACATGGCCCTTCCCGCTGCTCAGCTTCCAGCAGCTATTGCAGGAATGTGCCCACTGCAGTCGGGCCTTGCTGCAGGAGCGCCCCAGCACAGAGAGCATGCAGGCTGTGATCCTGGGGCTGACAGCCCGGCTCCACACCCCGGAGACTGAGGCTGGCACACAGCCTCTCTGCAGGTATGGGTTCACCTGGGGGGCCCTCAGGCCTGGGGGGTGGAGAGGGTCCCCCATGAGGTTCCAGGCCAGTGCAGGAGCTCAGGGCGGAAACAGGCCTGTTGTTTCTGTCTCAGGGTGGCTGGGAGTGGGTGTGGGCTCCTGTCTCCTGCTTCAGCCTACCCGTGCTCCCAGGAAGCATGCCCTGCGGGTGCTGGACATGACAGGCCTTCTGGACGACGGCGTGGAGCAGGACCCTGGCACCATGAGCATGTGGGACTGCACGGCGGCAGTGGCCCGCACCTGTATAGCACAGCAGCAAGGCGGGACTACGGAGCCTGGGCTGGCCCCCATTCCTGTGGAGGTTCGTGTAGACCTACGGGTGAACCGGGCCTCTTACGCGTTCTTGCGGGAGGCACTCCGCAGCAGCGTAGGCAGTCCCCTGCGGCTCTGCTGCCGGGATCTGCGGGCCGAGGACCTGCCCATGCGCAACACTGTGGCTTTGCTGCAGCTGCTGGATGCGGGCTGCTTGCGCCGCGTGGACCTGCGCTTTAACAACTTGGGTCTACGTGGCCTGTCTGTTATCATCCCACATGTGGCCCGCTTCCAGCACCTGGCCAGCCTACGGCTGCACTATGTGCACGGGGACTCCAGGCAGCCCTCTGTGGATGGTGAGGACAACTTCCGTTACTTCCTGGCCCAGATGGGCCGCTTCACTTGTTTGCGGGAGCTCAGCATGGGCTCCTCTCTCCTCTCGGGTCGGTTGGACCAGCTGCTCAGGTGAGCAAGCCCCACTGCTACCCTGCTCCTCCTCCCCCTGAGATCCTCCCCTGGCCCTGCCTGTTTGTGACCGCACATTTCCCCTGTAGTACCCTGCAGAGCCCCCTGGAGAGCCTGGAGCTGGCCTTCTGTGCCCTGCTGCCTGAGGATCTGCGCTTTCTGGCCCAGAGCCCCCACGCTGTCCGTCTCAAGAAGTTGGACCTCAGTGGCAATGACCTGTCTGGCAGCCAACTAGAGCCCTTCCAGGGTCTACTGCAGGCGGCAGCAGCCACACTGTTGCACCTCGAGCTAACTGAGTGCCAGCTCGCGGATACCCAGCTGCTGGCCACACTCCCTGTGCTGACGCGCTGCACCAGCCTCCGCTACCTCGGCCTCTATGGCAACCCGCTGTCCATGGCGGGCCTCAAGGAGCTCCTACGAGATTCAGTGGTGCAGGCTGAGCTACGCACGGTAGTGCACCCCTTCCCCGTGGACTGTTATGAGGGCCTGCCCTGGCCACCGCCTGCTTCTGTTCTGCTGGAGGCTTCCATCAATGAGGAGAAATTTGCTCGTGTGGAGGCTGAGTTGCACCAGCTGCTACTAGCCTCAGGCCGTGCTCATGTGCTCTGGACCACAGACATTTATGGGCGCCTGGCTGCAGACTACTTCAGCCTATGATATCCAGGCTGTCCTGGTGTTCAGGGCTACTGGAGATCCTTCCCTGCCTTAGGCAGACAGAGCCTTCACTGGGATCCTGGCCTGACCCAGAGGCGCTGGGCTCAGGTTTCCTTGCTCCTGGGCACTTTGAGCTTTCCTAAGCTTCCTGCACCGCTGTACCCATTCCCCTGACTGACTGTGGGCTTCAGGGCTGGATTCCAGGCCTGCGGGCCAGGTTTGATTGTGGTGCACTTGGCTGCCCTCTGGGGTTCTGATCCTCTCTGGAATGTTTGTAGGATCCCAACTGCAAGCCAGCCAAGAGAGAGTGTTCTCTAGGCCCGTCCCAGGAGAGCTGCGTGCTCCGGGGTTGAGGTTGGAACAGGAACCTGCTTCAAGGAGAACTGGGTCTCCATGCACTGGGGCTTTTCATGGTCCTGCCTGCCCCAGCACCCAGGGGCAGCACCCTGTGGGTTTTGGAGTCAGAAGGGGTCGTTAAGGTAGAAACGTGCAGTGTGTTTGGAACTTACATTTGTGGTGGTTTTTTATGTCCTCACCGGTTAGAATGACTGGTCACTGCCTCTGCTGTCCCTGGCCCCCTTCCCCTACTTCCTACAGGCCCTGCACCGCCCGGCGCCCCGCCCACCCCGGGGATGCCCCGTCGGGCTTGCGGCCCGGAGGAGAGGGCGGCCTCCAGCAGGGGTGCAGGGAGCCGCCTCGGCCCCGCAGAGCTGGGGTCAGCAGGTGCCCGCGCGGCGCCCTCGGGGCCCCGGACCCCACACAGGCTCGCCGCACACTGCGCAGCTTCGACCCTTTACTGAGCGCGCCGGAGCATGCGCGGGCCGAGCCCGCCGGCCGACCAATCCGCGCGGCTTACGTCATCAGCGCCCGCCCGCCCCTCGGCCCGGCCGCTCAGCAGTGGATCTCGTAGGCTGTGGGCGGCTGTAGCGGGAGCCCAGGCCCCGTGCCGCCGGCCGCCTCCGTCGGGGCGTCGGCGAAGAGCGGCTTGGAGCGGTCGATGACGAACATTTCGTGGCCTCGCTCGTCGCGGAGCTCCTCGAGCTGCGCGAAGGTGCACGGCCCGTCCGAGTAGTCGTTGACGAAGAGCGCGCCCTCGCCCGGCGGCCCCGGCGCCTTTTTCCGCTTGCGGCGCCGGCGGCAGATCATGGCGGCCAGGAGCAGCGCCGTGAGCGCCAGCAGCGCGATGGCGGCCGCCACGGCCGTCTGCGTGGCTAGGCCCAGGGCGCGGAAGGCCATGCTGCCCGTCTCCTGCAGCGGCTGGTGGCTGACGGGCCCGGCGGGCAGGGGCGGCGGCGGCGCGGGCTGCGGCGGCTGCGGCCGGGACAGGTTGACCAGGAGCTGGAAGGGCACGCGGGCGGCGCCGCCGGCGTTGGAGGCCTCGCACTCGTATTTGCCGGCGTGGGCCAGCGTGATGTTGCTGAGGAACAGCATGCCGCTGCCCGTGTCGGGGCCGCCGGGGCCGCCGGGGCCGCCCGGGGCGCGACGCCCCGCCCTCCGCCTGCGCCTGCCCTCGCATCTGCCCGTCGCGCGGCTGCGCCACCTTTCTCCAGGTGACCAGGGGCTGCGGGTAGCCCGAAGCCTGGCAGGCCACCCGCAGGTCCTCGCCCAGGTTGGCCGTCACCTCGAGCGGCTCCACGTGCACCGAGGGCGGGATGCAGATGAGGCTGCTGCCGGAAACGTCCAGGAGGCTCTGCAGCGCCAGGCGCGGGGGCTCGGCGCACACGATCTTCTTGTCCCTGGAGCTGAGCAGCCGCTGGCCGCCCTCCTTGATCCAGGCTCCCAGCCAGTGCAGGGCGCAGTCGCAGCGCCAGGGGTTCTCTGCGGGCAGAGCAGGGGCGCTGGCTCCTGGGGGCAGGCTCTCCCCTCTCCTGTGGCTGCGCGGCCCCGCCCCGCCCACTCATCTCTCAGCCTCTGCTGCTCCGAAGTCTCTGCCTGGAACCAACCCCATCATCCGGGCGGAAGCGTCGGCGGCCGCACGCACGGGCCACAGCACTAAACCCCGCGGTCCGTCAGCCGCATCCTCAGGCGCTAAGTCCTGGAAACGCCGGCCCGGGCCGTCCTTGCAGGTGCTGCCTGCCTGCGCTGGTGGCCCCAAGGCCGACCAGCCCCTCGCCTCTGCCCTGGACTCCGAGCATCTCCGACCGCCGTGGGCAAGCTCCCTGAGCCGCGCCTGCCCCAGCGCCGCGCTCCCGTCAGCCTTCGGGGCGGCTGCGGGCGGGGCCCAGGCCCCAGGAGGGTCAGACAGTCTGCAGTTGGGAGCCCCTGCGGCCCGCCCCCGGGCCTGTTGCTACTGACCCGCCTGCGCCCGGAATATGCCCCGCACGAGACCCCTGGGGGTACCTGTGAGGCGCAGGACCTGCAGGCTGGCCAGGGGCCGGAGGGCCTCGCGGCTGAGGGTGCCCAGGTGGTTCCTGCTGAGGTCCAGCAGCGCCAGTGAGGAGAGCCCCGCCAGGGCTTGGTCCTCCAGCAGCTCAATGCTGTTGTCCTGCAGGTGCAGCTCCTGCAGTCGCTGAAGGGACAGCGGGGCATCAGGGAAGGGGCCCCAGGGGACAGGCGCAGGCCCGGGCCGGTCCCTCCGGCGGCCCGCCGCCCCGCCCACGCCCCTCACCGGCAGGTGCAGGAAGGTGAAGTCCAGCAGCTGCCCCAGCTGGTTACCCGCCAGGTAGAGCGCACGCAGCTGAGCCAGGCCCGCGAAGGCGCCGACTCGCAGGCCGCGCAGCCGGTTCCCGGTGAGCGCCAGCTCCAGCAGGCGGGACTGCGCGCGGAAGGCGCCGGGCTCCAGGGCGCGCAGGCTGTTGTTGTGCAGGTAGAGGCGGCGCAGGGCGGCGAGAGGCGCCAGGACGCCTGGGTCCAGGCGCGCGATACTGTTGTCCTGCAGGAACAGCGTCTGCGGGCCGGAGGGAAGTCGGGGGCTGTTCACGCCGCGGAGGCGGCTCCCTCCTCCACCGGGCGCCCAAACGCCCCTCCCTCCGGGCCGCGGGCCCCACGCGGTGCCCACCTGCGTCCCGGGTGGGATTCCAGGCGGGACGCCGCGCAGCCGCAGGGCGCCGCACTCCACCGTGGCGCTGTAGCAGCGGCAGGCGGCCGGGCAGGCGGCAGCGCGGGGCGGGCAGCCGGGGAGCCACAGCAGCCACAGCAGCAGCAGCGTGGGCGCCCCCGGGGCCATCTCCCGGGGGACCGGCCGCGGACCGCGAAGCTGCGGTCTCCAGCGGGGCCTCCGAATAGTCCAGCCCGGATGGGATGTGCCTCCTGAAACACAGATCAGCGGGCCGGCCCCTGACACTTGAGAGCCAGAGAATGTGGATGGAGGCCCGCACCCCGGGTGCAATATCTGAAAAGTCATAAATCAGTTCAAGCAACTGATTAAAAACAAAAAACTTGGGATCCCTGGGTGGCGTAGCGGTTTGGCGCCTGCCTTTGGCCCAGGGAACGATCCTGGAGACCGGGATCGAATCCCACATCGGGCTCCCGGTGCATGGAGCCTGTTTCTCCCTCTGCCTGTGTCTCTGCCTCTCTCTCTCTCTGTGTGTGTGACTATCATAAATAAATAAAAACTAAAAAATATATTTATAAAAAAATAAAAACAAAAAACTTTACCAGAACAGTCCTGACATCTGGAGTATCGGCTTCCACCTGCAGTTCCCGCTGTTCCCAGTGGTAGGCCCCGCCCTGCCCGAGCCCCCTCTCCCAGCTCTCCTATGGGGCTTCCTGCCCGGCAGTACCGGGCTCAGGCTTCCCTCCGCTCTAGCCACTGCTTGCCTGGGGTGTGGGCTTGGGGACATGACGGTGGGAGGCCCCGGGCCCAGGTAGCCAAGCCCAGGCTGGAAGGGGCACAGGCTCTGGGAAGGCGATTCTGCTTGTCCGCGCGGGCTCTCCTCAGGAACATCCAAGAGCTGAGTCCAGAGTGTGAGGCTTGTGCCCCCAAGACTAGGTGCAGTGTCCTTGTGTGACCCCACATGAAGTCTAGTCCTGTCCCTGGAACCCGTGCTGTGGTCCCCATCCCGGGACCCAACCGCCACAGGAAAACGCGAGCACAGCTTTGTGTAGCCGCTGCCCCGGTGGCTGAGGGTGGGTCTTGGAGCTTGCTAGAGTGGGGGCACGTGGCACATGACAGGACCCTCAGTTGAGGAGCCACGTCCTCCTCCCTGCTGGCTCCTGGAAAGGTGCTTCTCTTTTTTGGGCCGTGGAACAGCTGGGTTGTGAGGATGGGCCTTGGGCCACCAACCGGTTTTATAGGACCATTTCCCATGCGGCTCTGGGAGCAGCGAGCTGAATTGTGAAGGGACGCCTAGTGTCGGGGGCTTATGCTCACGCGCCTGTGGTCCTGGCGAGCGGAAGGCCTGGGTCTAGGTCCAGGCGCAGGAAGACCGATGCTAAAGGTGGGGCCCGGGCTGAGAAGCCAGCTAGTCTTGAGCAGGGGCAGCAAACCGGGGTGTGCTGTCTCCTGCCTGCAGCCCGCTCTCAAACGGTCCCTGCTCAACACCTGCCTGTTGACCCTGCCAGCAGGAGCGAGTCCTGTGAGAAGGCACCAGGTGGCCTTGGTGTCTGTTCAAATCGTGCTCTAAATTGTAACTCGCGTAATTATTTAAAGTCACTAGAAATGAAGTGCGCACAGCAAAAGTTTTAATGCAATAGCTTTGGCCCAAGCAGGGCAGTTCCCGGGTGTCTGAGTGTGTGTGTGGACCCCAAGGACGGGAAAGCATCCTCGGGCTCCTGGGACCTGCTCCCTGAGCCAAAGGCTTGCCCGGGCCTTGCCCCCTCGGCCTCCGGCGGCAAGTCCTCAAGCAGAGGAGCTTCGCGGCTTCCTCCTTATAATTCCGGGCACTGCTGCTCCCAGGGACAGCCCTGCGCGCTGATTGGGACACAGGGGCCCGAGCAGGGAGAGGGCCGGGCCGGGAAGGGGTGGGCAAGCCAGCCCCGAAATCCTTTTACCCGGCGGGCGGTCCTATAATCCGCTGGGCAGGGGGCGGGGCGTCATGCACGGGATTCAGCGACGGCTGTCACCGACTCCAGCGCGCCATCTGTGCGGGGACCGGAGGGCCGAGGAAGCCCCGCGACCCCCTGGGGCGGAGCCCGAGCCGCGGGCCTCGATTTCCTCGCGGTGTCACCTGCTTCCCCTCCAGCGCGGGTCTGTCCCAGGGCAGGGCGTGGCCCCTTCCAGGTCGCCTCCCCCTCTCGGTGCGCGCGGGGCAGGGCCGGCCCGGCCGCGATCCCGCCCCCACGCCCTCTGACCTGGGATCGGGCGCCCGCTCACCTGACGCTCCCGCGGCGCGGCTCCCCCGCCGAGCCCAAGGCGCTCCGGCCCCACGAGCAGCGCCGGGCGGGGGAGGGGCGGGCGCCGCTCGCGCACGCGCACTGGAGCCCCCTCTCCCCCGCGCCTCCGGCCCGGCGTCCGCAGCGTCCCCGGTGAGCGAGGCCCGAGCCGGAGGCCGCCCGAGGCCCGAGGCGAGCGGAGGGAGCGGAAGGGGCCGCGACTCCGCCCCTCCTCGCGGTCGCGGCCCCGGAGGCGGCAGCACCTCGGACAGCGCCGGGCGGACCGGGGCCGCGGTGCACCTCTGCCGCGCACGCGCATTCGGCCAGCGCGCTCTCCCGGTGCGCGTGCGCAGCGGAGCGCGGCCGGGCCGGGGGGTAGGGGTGGGGGTGGGGGTGGGGGTGGCTCAGGGCGGCGCGGCGGGCAGCAGCGGAGCCAGGTCCATGGTGAGGGCGAGGCGGCGGCCCTGCCAGCGCACGTGCGAGGGTGCGGCAGCGCCGGGCGGGTACTCGAAGCAGGCGCTCAGCTCGAAGGCCAGCGCGGAGCGCACCAGGCCCACGCCGCCCGCACGCTCGGGCGCCGGGTGGTAGAGGCGGCCGTTGGCGGCCAGGGGCAGCAGGCGCGCGGGCTCGAAGGGCACGGCCAGGGCGTCCCCGCCGCCGCAGTAGGACAGCCGCGGGGGACTGGGGCCCGAGGCCAGCAGGTGCGTGAAGACCACCGGCCGGTCCTCGCAGCGCAGGAAGTTGCGCTCCCGACCGCAGGGCGAGAGGAAGGGGAAGGAGGCCTCGTAGCGGCCGCTGCGGTTGGGTCTCAGGCGGGAGAAGAAGGTGACCAAGAACTGTGGATCTGGAGGGGAAGGACGCAGTTGCTGCGCGCGGCCGCGGGGCCCCTCCCCGGCCCGGCTCGCCCTGCGCGGCCCCGGGCGCTGCCGCAGGGGCGCGGGCGGGGGGCGGCTGCAGCGGTACCTTTGAAGCAGGTGGTGAAGTTCTTCATTTTGGAGTCGTCCAGGAACAGCTGCGGACGGGGGCGGCCGTGAGTGCTCCCAGGGCGGGGGGCTGGCCTCCCCCGCGGAGCCCCGGCCCACCCCCGCGGCCCCGCCACACGCCCACCTGGCCCTGGTGGTCCACGTAGTAGAAGTACTCCCGCGTCCGGGGCTCCGGGGCCTGGCCCTGCGCGTACGGCACGTCCCCGCCCCCGCCCCCGCCGCAGGCCCGGGCCCCCGGGGGCCGCGTCCGGAGCGCCCCGCACACCCGCCACATCTCCTCCCGCGCCGGAAGCGGCGGCCCGGGACGCGGGGCGGGCGCTGCGTGGACACGCCCCCCGGCGGCCGGACTCGGGGTCACGCCCCGCCCCCCGGAAGCCCGCGCGCCGCTGGGGCCAGCACAACAGCACACGCAGCCTCCACGTGTCCATAGTACTTTATTCACACACAGTGTTGCCACCTCTGGGGTCCATGCGTCTGGGCGAGTCTGGCCCGGAGACCCCGCGGCTCGGGACGCCGCAGGGGACCCCCGGCAACGGCGGGGCTTTTTTTTAATAATAAATAAAAACTCAACTCTAAAAAATATATATATATATATATATATATATATATAAACTGGGGAGAAATTAAGTTTTACAATCGGAACTCAAAATTCCAAAATGGAAAATGTACAAACTGAGAGTCGAGGTGCCCCCGCCCCGCCGGCCCGTTCCTCCTCCCGCGGGTCCCAGACGCGGGTGGACACGGCTTGGTTTTTGGTCAGAAGCCAAGAAAGTGGCGAAGAAAACGAAGGAGTGATGTCAACTTGCTCCGCACGGAGGACAGGCTAGGACGGCTCAGAGATAAATAGCATTTGGGTTAAAACTAGGTCATTAGCAAATTTAGTTCTTATATCTTTCCCTCTATATCTTTATACACAGGCGGGTTGGTGTGCTGGATAGAATCTGAATTTATAGTTACACGAAGAAAAATACTCTTGCCCCTCCCCCACCCTGCCCCAAGAATGCCTGCCCAACCCTGCCCCCCACCCCAGAGGACTTTGGTTTGGCCCCCCCCCCCCACAGAAAGCCCGCCGGGCCCTGCTCTGGTGACTGACAGTCCGGTGCCCTGCGCCCCCCCCCCCCCCCGCGCAGCCTCCGCGTAGGCGGCCACACTCAGGTAGTGGCAAGAGGGGGGAGGGGGGAAAGGGGGGACGGAGGGGAGGGGCGGGGGGGAGGGAGAGGGGAGGAGGAGGGAGGAGGAGGACGGAGGCGGCGGCGGCTGCAAGCCGGACCGGGACGGAGACCCGGCGAGGCGCTGGCCCCGGGGCCGGGCGTCGTGTGCTCTCAGGCCGGCCGGGAGGGGCAGTGTCACTTGGCTCCAGGAAACAGAAGGCACTTTCTCGGGGCTGACCGGCCGGCGGAGGGCGGGGCGGGGCCCACGGGACTGGCCACTGGGCGGGGGTGGGCGGGGGGGGGCCTGCAGGGCGGGGCGGGCACGGCGGGGGCCTGGCATGCTGCCTCCGCGGCCGGGGCGTTCCCTCCCCCCTCCCCGCGTGCTCCCCTGCGCTCCCCCCCCCGCGGTCCTAGGGCCCCCGTGCTATAGCACGCCCTCCATGAAACTGGTGTCCAGGTGCTGGATGAGCACGCGAAGGAACGACATCTCCTTGCGAGTGTTCTCGAAGATGACGCGCGGGTCGTCCGACCGGCAGCGCAGGCAATTGGGTGCCATCACCATGGCCAGGTTGCTGACGTCCATCTTGGTGATGGCCACGTTGGCGGGCTGCACGAACACCTGCGAGAGCGCACGGGCGGGTGGGCGGGGCCGGCTAGAGGGGCGGGGCCGGGAGCTGGGTGTGGGCGGGGCCCGGCTAGAGGGGGGTGGGGGCGGGGCCGGGAGCGGGTTGTGGGGTGGGTGGGCGAGGCCGAGGCGCAGGGGGCGGGGCCGGGAGCCGTGGGGGGGGGGGCGGGGCCGGGCGCGCCCCGCGCGTACCTGAAGGAAGCGGATGAGGTAGCACAGCACCAGGCGGTTGATGCGGGGCAGCGCGTGCACCACGGCCACGGCGGCCTCGGGGCTCTCGTAGTGCGCGATGCACTGCTCGTAGAACTCGTGCGGGATCAGGGGCTCCTCCAACTCCCGGTACCACAGCTTCAGTAGCGAAGCTGCGGACACAGTGCGGGGTGGCGCTCAGCGCGGCCTGCAGGGCGGGCACCCCCCCCCCCAGGGGGCGGTGCGGACCGGAAAGGGTCGCCGGGCCTAGGTAGGCTGCACAGACCCAGGCCCTGGCGGATGGTGCAGGGGTGAGGGCAGGTACAGGCAAGGCCCGAGGGAGGCCCCCGGGGGGCCGTGCGTCCTAGCGGAATGGGGGCTCACCAGGGACGTGGGGATCCTCCAGGCCTGTGGGCACCTTCCACTGGTCCACCTGCAGCTTCAGGGCGTTCACCTCATCAATGTCCCCCGGCACTCTGTGGAGCAAGGGTGGGTCTCACCAAGGAGGGCTCTGCCTTGCCCTGGGTCAGGCTCCTCCCCATGCGGCCGGCCTCTCTTCCATGGGGGAGAGAGAGAGCCGCTGTCCCGCCGATGCCTTCATCAGTGGGGCCACTGAGGCTTAAACCCACAAGCCTTACTTCCCAGCTCTCCTCTCAGGGAGGTGAGTCCTGACAGCAGGTAGCAGGCCCTGTGCTATTCCCAATGGGGCAGGGACTGTCATCCCTATTCATAGGTGAGCACCACCTGCTGGCTGCTGCCCAGACTCCTGTTGCAGGCCCTGCCTAGGGTCCCTGCCGTTCAAGTGCCCTCTGGGACCCCACTGGCCATCTTTACAGAGGCATCGTCCCCGGCTGACCCTCCTAAGTTCAGGCATGCTGACATCTGGGGTGGGGGTTCCTTGACTTGCCCCTTGGGGATGGGGACCTGCCCTGCTTTTCCGGGCTGCACAATGGCCCGTGAGCTCCAGGGTGTTCCTCCCCACCCACAGGACAGCCTCTTGTGGGGTCCTCTCTGGCTATCCCCAGACAGGGGCATGGGTCTCCTGGCCCCAAAACCCAGGGCTGGGGCAGGGAAGGAGGCCCGGTGGTCCTGGTGCCTGCCTGAGACACAGCAGACACACCCGAGGCCCCACACCCCGGGCCCAGGTAGCAGGGCACCTGAAGATGCCTTCCGTCTGGTCGCCATTGAGCGCTAGCACCTCCTCAGACAGACGTGTTTGTACCCAGGGCAGCTGCCGATCAGGGTATCGCTCCTTCTG